TCCCTCCATATCAAACTTAGAACAACACTCCAAGACAAACGATTAAGTCGTGCAGAAGCAGAAACTCCACACCAGTGAGTTACGCACCAGTGCAGAACTACTGGCCAGTTAACCAAAGTTGGTGGCGCAGCTGTCTTCAAAATCTGATCAAGCATATACCTCGTAAAAGCACAATCAATAAAGAGGCGATGTCGAGTTTCCAACCCACCAGGACACATCAAACACATGCCCGAGAGAGGCTTCCCCCAGGAAATGAGATGATCTTGCAGCTTCAGCCTATCATGAATAATTAGCCAAAGAATGAATCCATGTCGAGGGATAATTACATTATCCCAAACCAGATCCTTCCAAGGCACAACATTGCTCTTCTAGCGTACTGAATTCCAGACTCGCTTGACAGAATATGACTCCATGATCCCACCATCCCATGCCAAGCCCCCTGCAACGAAGAGACAAAAGGCCTAGCCACGTCACGACATTTTAGAATTCTCCTCCATATCCAGGAAGATGCAGAAGAAGATTTAAGATCCCAAATTGAGACGTTCTTGACACGGTAACGATGAATCCAGGCTACCCAAAGGGAGCCCTCCTCAGCAAGGAATGCCCAGAAATGCCTAAGTACACAGGCTTTGTTCCAGATTGCAAACCCACGAATCCCTAAGCCTCCCTCCTTCTTAGGCCGAGCAAGGAATTCCCAAGAAACAACAGCCCTCGTCCTCAGTTATGCATCAGTTATGTCCCACAAATATTTACTACAAATGGATTCAACTTCCTTAATAACAAACTGAGGCAGAAGAAAAATCCCCATCCAATACTGCAAAACACTGGTCAGAACTGATGTAATAAGTTGTAACCTTCCAGCAAAGCTCAGAGTTTTTGCCCTCCAACTAGAAATCTTTGCTGTGATTTTCTCTACCAAAACACGAGAGAGTTTGCCAGTAATAAGTGGAACTCCCAAATACCTAACAGGCAAGGTACCAAGAGGGAATTTCGAGTATAAGGAGATATGTTGCTGCTCAGATTCATAGATTCCCCCACAAAACAACTGACATTTTTCCGGATTGCATTTCAGACCAGAGACTTTGTAAAAAGCATCCAGGACTCTACATACCCCTACCACACCCCTGATAGATCCATTCGTGAAAATCAGTAAATCATCAGCAAAACACAGGTGTGTAATTACCAATGGTTTACAAATGGGGTGAGGAGGGATTTGGTTCTGCCTAACCGCAAGCTTCAACATAGCATCCAACACCTCCAGGGCGACAGTAAACAAATATGGAGACAGAGGGTCTCCTTGCCTCAACCCCTTTTTCATCTAAAAAAACCCACAGACACCACCATTCATCACTACACTCACTTTAGGAGTACATACACAAGCCCTTAACCACTTGACAAAAAGCTCAGGAATCCTCATGTCTTAGAACAGAGAATAAGAAACTCCAATCCACTGAATCAAACGCTTTCATAATGTTAATTTTCATAGCACAACGTGGGGAAATTCTATCTCTATGATAGTCTTTCACCAACTCTGATGCCAAGAGAATATTGTCACTAATGGATCGTCCTCTAATGAATGCAGACTGAGATGTAGAAATAAGAGAGGACAGAGCAGAAGCTAACCTGTTTGCCAAAACCTTTGAAATCCCTTTATACACCGTGTTGCAGCAGGAGATAGGACGAAAATCCTTCATTCTTTCAGCATTTGGGACCTTTGCCACGAGTGTAAACAGAGTGGAGTTCAGAGCCTATGGCATAAAGCCAGAAGAGAAGAAATCCAAAGCAACTTCTTCAACTAAGCTGCCAACCAAATCCCAGTGTAGTTTATAAAACTCGACAGGAAACCCATCAGGGCCTGGAGCCTTATCCCTCCCAAGATTCTTAAACACCTGATGAACTTCTTCCCTAGAGATTGGGGCAATTAATGACCTAGCTTCCTCCTGATTGAGTGATTTAAGAGCAGTGTCTCATAGAAACTAGATGGATGAATAAACACAGCAGAATCAACTTCACCAATAAGCTTCTTATAAAAATCAACTGCAACCTTTCCCATTTCCTTAACATCAGTCACCTCTTGTCCTTGAGCATTTAAAAGGCGAGTTATCTGATAGCGGTGAGAATGAATCTTTACAGAACGGTGGAAGAAAGCAGTATTCATATCACCCTCCTGCACCCATCTAGTACGAGCTTTTTGCTTGTAAAAACTCTCTTCAGCTTTTTGTAATTCATGACACTTAACAGAGAGCTTCTTTTCTTCCCCCACTAGAGTAGCCTCAGGGTTGGCAAGAATAGACAACTGCAATGCCTCCAATCTACTTTCACTTGCACGGGTTTGCATAGAGATATCAGCATAAACTTCCTTGTTCAGTTTCTTAAGAGCCTGACAGACCTTCTGAAGTTTACCATAGAACACAAAAAACGGCCAGCCATTCACCTTATAACTCCAAGCATCAGAGACTAACCTATTATAATCAGGATGACTAGTCCATAACTTGCAATATTTAAATGGTTTGGGAAAACTCTTCACCTGAGGTATGACTGTCAGCAATAGTCCACAGTGATCCGAGACTCCTAGTGGAGTAGTAACAATAGAACTAGCTTGGAAGACAGACAACCATGCTTCATTAACTAGAATTCTATCCAGCCTTTTTGCAATAGGTTTCCCCTCCTGTTTGTTCATCCAAGTAAATCAGGTTCCCATAACTTTGTGATCTACCACATTCATATCAGCAATCCATGACTTAAAAGAGACCATGCTTGAATTCATAATCATGAGATTGGAAGTTTCCCCCGGGCCAATAACAACATTGAAGTCACCCATGATGACCATAGGGATATTGATCTCTTGCTGGAGTAAAAGTTCCTTATACAACACAGCCCTGTCAGCTTCTTTGTTTGGACTGTACACCACTAAAAGGAGGAAAGGGTTAGGCCCTCCAACTTTGGCTTTAATGAAGTGATGCCCATCATCAACTTTAACAACATTCAGGCCATCTTTCCAGACCAACCAAACACGTCCATTAGGGGATTTAGGGTAATTATTCAAGTGCTTAAACTGACTAAAATGCTTTGAAAGTATATCAGAACTATTAGCTACTATAACTCTAGTTTCTAGTAGTGCTACTATATCTAACTTCAAACACCAAAACTTCTTTAGCACAACAGAGTGCTTTTCAGGGGCATTAAAACCCCTGATATTCCAACATAGTAACTTCAGTTACCCCGTTTCTTCCCCCTACCCTTACCCCGAGCAGGAGCAGGAGGATCCACAAGACGCCTCAAAACAGGTCCACTTAGAGAAGGAAATGCCTGATCATCAAGAAGAATTTTCCCCGAACCAGCAGACAAACTCCATGGACTTCTAGGTACCGACCCCGGGGCAGGAGCTCTCATTCTATTCTTCCTGTGCGTGACCACTTGTAACCCATCATCAACTGTGGAAAGCGTTGTATCCCTATCCTGCACTGGAACAGGAGAAGAAACAGTTTCATCTATCACTGTGCAGCTCGTCCCAGCTTCCACCTCTTGAGTTACTTCCTTCTGTGGCACTTCCATCACACTTTCCCGTTATCCTTTAACCCAACAAGGTCAATTTCCTTCCTCTAGGCTGCTTCACAACCCAGACCTTCTTCGTTCTCCGTCCAGGATTAGAGCAGTCATGTCCAAACACTTGACTCTTTTCACATTTGCTCGGGACATGATATTACTCTACATCAACAAGCATCTCTAGGCAATCATCAGGAGTAATGCTCAACTTATTCACCAAATTAGACTTCACAGAAATTTCAACACAAAGCTTCGCAACCCCCAACCGCGTCCCTTGCTTCGTCGGAAAATCCATACAAAGAGGACAGCCCAAAGAACTGGCGATACGCCCTAATCCTTCCTTTGATGCCATCTCAGAGGGCAAGTTCGACAACCTAACCCAAACTGGAACTACCGAGTTGTCAATGGCAAGAGGTTGAATACCTGGTTCCCATTTACGCAGGAACAACATATTCTCACGATGATGCCACGACCCTACTTTGAAAACCCAACGACAGACTTCAGCAGTCGGGAATTGAAAAAGAACCAAACGCTCCCCCAACCACGAGACGCGGATAGCTCCATCACGCCCCCAGATCCAGTTCGCCCAAAAGTGAATGGAAGAGAGTGATGCCAGCCGATCAAGAAATTGTCCCACTAAGCAGCGAACCCATCGCTTGGATCCCTCCTCGAGAACCGACTTGGGAATCCTCAGCGATCCATTGACAAATTCCGGTTCGTAATAGTCCAACTTGAGATCTGGATTAAACGAGAAGAGCGATGCCCAAGTGCACCAGTCACCGACGACACCTGAGGAGACTCCGCCGGTGACGGTCGCCATTGGAATCAAAGGTCGAACCACAACATTCATAGAGAAGAGAGAGATGAGAGAAATTGTTATAATTACATAAAATTTTCTATATATAATATATATGTAGTTTAGAATAATTATATAAAGAGTTATTATATTGTACTTATCCTGATAAATTATATCAAATCTTATCTAACATATGAGTTATAACATATAATATTCTACCAAAATAACATGTCGTACTTAGATCCAACATATAGTGAAAATTCACACACACTTATATAACATATATATATTCAAATATTCAACTTAGGATTCCAAAAATAGAGTTAGGCGAAAAGAAAAATCGAAAAATAGGCACATTTCGCAAACAAAAAAAGACACAATTTGACCTCCAACCCCGTACCTTGTAACAGTCAACCTGCCGGATGCGTGTGACCCGTTTTTCTTACTGTGTCAGAGTAAGTGGGTTGACCCGCGGGTCGACAACATGAAACTTGGTTAGAAATTAGAATTGAATTGCGTTGGAAAAAGTGAAACAGAGGAAACGGAGAAGAACGGGAAAGAAAAGAAAAAAGAAGGTGAAACGGAGCAGAAAGTAATATGCTTTTCTTCTCACGACTTCTTATTCGTTGAAACCCTTGCTCCAACAGATTCGGCTCCAATGGCGGAAGCAAGAGTTGAAAGCGCTGTGCCGCCGTTTGTCAAGTGGTGCAGCGACTTCTCCAGGGTGTTCCAGTACTACCTTGATAGATCGGTGCCTCAGCCGACGCTGAGGTGGGTGGGGACGCTTGCGGCGGTCCTGTTATTCGCCTTGCGGATTTACTATGTCCAGGGGTTTTACGTCGTCTCCTACGGGCTCGGGATCTACGTTCTGAATCTGTTGATTCAATTCCTTTCCCCGAAGATCGATCCGGAGCTTGAGTCTCTTGATGGAGCTTCTTTGCCGACCAAGACTTCCGATGAATTCAGGCCGTTTATTCGCAGGCTTCCCGAGTTCAAGTTCTGGTAAGATTCTTGAGCTTAATGTGAATTAGTGTTGGCAGTTGTAGTAGTATTTCAGTGTTTGTCAATTTGAGAGTGGGAAGCTTGGAGACGGACCATCGATTTGCTTTGTTTGGCTGCTGCAGTAGGGAAGGCAGGCATCTGTAGTTCAGGCTAGAAGCACGATTAGGATTCTGTGCTGGTTCTTTTATTTGTTTTCGGGGTCTCTGGACGGGGATCTCTTTTGCTCCTTCAAGATCTCATTACGTGTTAGTTGACTATAAACCCTAATGTGCAGCTGCTTGTTCGTTGCTTTACACCGCAATAAGAAACGGGTGTCCATTAACTTGCTTGTTCCTTGTGAATGGGAGTATCTCATTCATACTTTAGAATCTTTGGCAATGCGTTTTGATGCTCAGACCAATTTTTCTGATTAAGTAAGACCTTTGTTGACCAGCTTCATGCAATTTAGTTCTGACAAATTTCACTTGAACCCATGTAAGTTCTTGTTTCTGTTTCTCTGCTCTGTTGCTGGCATCCGTTGCAATTCAATATGGAGTTGCTGGTTTAGCTCCCATAGGAAAGGCAATTTGTTTAGGAGTTTTAGCTTCTTATTCCTGGCTCTGCTTAATGACATGCCTAGTTAAGGACTCAAGGCAACAAATTTGATCACAATCATTAAGGAAACTTTCACGGGAAGAGATGTACCATGCTTCTGGCGTTCAATCAGTTTCTGGACTAAGGAGTGCTCTGGTTTATTCTCTGCATTGCCTAATTGGCGATGCCTTGAACATCGGAATGTGGTGAAATGTAGTTTTTCCAACACAGTTAACTGGTTTATGTCTACAGGTACACCTTCACCAAGGCAGTTCTTGTTGCTTCATTCATGACCCTTTTCCCTGTGCTGGACGTACCTGTTTTCTGGCCGATACTAGTGCTTTACTGGATCGTTCTCTTTGTTCTCACAATGAGAAAACAAGTCATGCATATGATCAAGTATAAGTATGTGCCGTTTGACTTTGGAAAGAAGGTTAGTGTTAGCGGGCTAAGTGCCTAAGTGCATGCCTTGTTACATATTACACCTACCCTTATTATTTTAGTTCTCCAAGTTTGCTTTTTCTACCTGACTAATCTGTGATGTGTAATGTCCTCTATTCCCTGGATGCTTGCAGAAGTATACTGGGAACAAGCGTCCTGAAAGTAGCAGCAAGTCACGAGACTGACTAAAGCTACCAGATGAGGGGAGAGCTCGGATGTCATCAGAGATTTACACAACTGAGAGAAACGGGGATCTTTTTTTTACTTGCTGTAAGCTAGTGGTGTTCAGCATGTTGGAAGCTGTTATTGACTGCAACATCTACCACTTTCCCCCACCCTCTATTTTGTTACCGAAAAAAAGATCAGCTTTAGGATGGTTCATGAAATTGAAATATGTACGTAGCTCAGATTGAATACCTGCTGGATGCTTCATTGTGTTTCACCCTTGAACCCTCTTGATAAGTAATACCAACGTTTCTTGTTCTTTCTCTTTTCTGGGTACAGAACTGTTAATTTAGACGTAGATGCATATCTGGAGTAGTTTAATATTGACAAAATGAGCCCAGGGGCCCTATTGGACGATACAAATACAAGGAATATAAAAATCGGGGGGCCTGATTTTCAACAAAGGATAGTTCTGTGGATGTCTTAACAGCAAACAAATCTGAAAGAAGAGGGACGATCTGGTTTGGGGAGCTGACAGCGGTCAGCTTTTTATTGCAGTTTGATCTTCGGGTCCAACAAATAGGTCGAATTTACAGGAGACCTCTCTCTCTCTCTCTCTCTCTCTCTCTCGGTCGATGATTTCTTTATCACCATGAATGGAGAGCTTGAAGAAATAGCTAAATCCAAATGGTAAAATTACTCCTTCAAGAGTTAGAACTGGCGATTCCCTATACTCTTCCGGTACATGCCCATGAACTTGGCAACGAATTCTGCAATAATCACAGAAGAAGAATCACAGCCAAATAGTTAGCTGCTGGGAGTCTCTTTTTCATGCAAGTATTGGGTTTGAAATTAATGGTAGAGTTTGCTTACCTTCTAGCTTGAGCAAGGCAGTTGTACCTGCTGGGAGTCTCTTTTCCTGCGATGGCATGGCGAGAAGCCCAGAAATCAGTCACTTTCACTTGATGGTAAAACTTGTCTATTGAGTTGCTCATCATGAACAGAAACTGAAGAAACTTACGTAGTAGCCATGCCAATAGTAAAGCTCTCTTTTCGAGCTTGACGGCATCTCCTTCAGGAATTGCTCCACAAGTTTCTATTATCGTTGTTAAAGACACCCCCGACACACGTTAGTAAAATAAACAACGATGGAGCTGCTAATGAACGAGAAGACTGGAAGAGGATGTGGTATTCATTCACCTGAAGAATTAGTTGGGGATTGACGAAATCAACTAGTAGCTTCTGCAACTTCCCCCTCACCAGAAAAAGCCTGGTAAAGAACAAACAAAAATGAGATTCAGTACCATTTCCTTCACCCCAAATAAAGCTGAACTGCTGAACACAAGCATAAAGAAAACACAGACCTCTTAGGAGATGGATCAGCCATGATTTCAGTGGCGATTTCTACCAGCACCTCTTCCCAGAATATTGGGATGGGTTGATCGTTAGCGAAGGGATAGCTGCAAGGAATTCAGATTTATGATGATGGAACTTAAAATCAGTCGGTACACTAGTGTTGATTTTTCGGTGCTCTCTTACTTGTGTGCTTTGCAAGCTTCAAGTGCCATGATAGCCCTTCTCAAGTCCTTTGCTTTCGTAGCAATCTTGGCAGCAAAGTTCATGGGTAGATCAAACCCTTCTTTCTTTGATATCTGAACAAGAAATTCCATGATCTGCCACAGAACCAGTTGGTGTTATGTTATTGCACTGTTCAAAATAGCTTCAGTCACCATGTCTGGGAATTTCACGTATCTACTTACTTCATGTGTTGCAGGAGCATCCACATTCACAACTTTGCACCGATTTCTCACCGATTCGAGCATCTCCAAATCATCATCGCAGCAGAGAATGAGCTTGCAACAATCCGTGTAACAGTCCATAATCCATTTGATCAGATGCTGGATGTTCTCTGTCGCTCTGTCAGCCTCGTAGAGAACTATCACTGGAGAAATGCCCAGCCAAAAAAAGGTTAGATCTTTTAGACCCTTCATACGGTGTGATCATAAAGTGTTTGCTTAAAAAATGTTGGAACCAACCTTTATAGTCTGGTCTGAAATTTATGGTGCTGACTTCTGGTGTTAGTGAATAAGCGTTGCTGATTTCCTTCACCAAACCCATCAACGCACTCATGGCGTTTGGTTCTGATTTCACGTTCAGCTCCACATGATGAGCGCTTGATGTTATTGGAACCACCACCTGGGCTCCCTTTTTCTCCTGTCGAACCAACCGGAAGTTGAAGATGTCACTCACGGCGTTTCCCAAATCAAACTCCTTACTTTATGTTTCTGAGCGATGAGATCAATCCGAAGTTACCTGTGCTTGGAAGAATCTCAAGTCATGGGACATCTGCGAGCAAGCATCCCCGAATATGTCACCAAGAAGTGCCATCATCAAACCTTTCTTCCCAGAGATGGATGGCCCTTTGAACAGGATGTGAGGGATACTGTCTTGAGACACCTGAAAAACAACAAGAAGATCAGTTCACAAAGGAGCCGGGGTTGGTCATCATCATCATCATCTTCATCAGCATCATCTCCTTACAAGTTTCCTCAGAAGCTGAGCCTCCTGTTTATGATAACTGAATGCTTTCAACGACGAGGGCTGGTACTTATCAGCCCAGAACTGACTCAAGCTCTCAACAACATTCGCCCTCGCAATATACGTAGATTCATCCACCTTTTCCTTCTCGGGGGACTTCTGATTCGTCCTGCAGCTCCTTCCTTTGATACAGGACAGCCAATTGGAATCCGAAGACTGCGATTTCTTCCTGTTGGCCACAAATGCTTTCACGCTCTCAGTCGTTCTCCCGCTCATATCGCTCACCTTGCTACTCGTGTCACTGCTCATCTTCCCGCTGCTGTGGAAGTAGCCCGGCGTGGAGTTGGTGCTTGTTGCAGTGGTACGCGATCCCGAGCTCGAAGAAGAAGACCTCGTGGACGCCTTGTGATCATTCATGTTCACATCCTCGCTCCCTGTGGTCTCTTGCTTGTTGTTGTTGTTGTTGTTATTATGAACTGCAAAGTCCGGCTGCTGGAACCTTCCATTCTTCTGGAGGTGTGGTGGCAGTGCAGAAGTCACATCTCTGGAGAAAAAGATGTCACCTGGGGAGAGTGAATCTGTGCTCTCACACATAGGGTTTCCTTTCCCTCCACCAGGGACGGCTCTGGAGAGCTTCATTGTACCGATCATCTCGTTCAGCTCCCCAACTGAAGTTGCCCTGGAAGGGTAAAGTGGTGGAGGGTGATTCTTCTTCAGCTGCTTCTGGTCTTTGTAGGCGTATAATCCGGCGCCATTGTCCTGGTCCTTGATGTTAGCCCTGGTCCTGGTGGCGCTGGTGGACCTGGGGCGCTGGTTCTTGGTCTTGCGGCGAGTGGAGCTGGCGATGGAATTGGTTCCATCAGCGGAGGAGGATGAAGAAGAAGAATTGTGATCATGATCAAGGTTGTTGTTGTTGTTGTTGTATTCGTTGTCGTCATTGAACTTCCTTGCTTGTTGTTGCTGTTGTCTGTTGGAAGAAGTGAGGGTTTGTGGAGGCAATTCCATGTCTGTGTCTGAATCGAAGCTCGTTGCTCTGCCTCCTCCTCCATTGCTGCGGATTTGGATGGGGCTCTCCCTCCAATCGGTCTCTGCATCGGAGGGCTCGTAGCCGCTTCTGGTTCGGTTGAAGGCAGGGAAGTAGTTACTGTCAAGGTCCATGGGTGCGAAAGAAGAAAGATGGCAACTTTCAGGAGGTTCAAGGAATGAGGATGAGAACCCAGGTAAGAGAACTGATGGAGGGGAAATGGGTTGAAATTTGATTTGAAAGGGCAAGGAAAAGGAGTGTGGTAATGGAGGAAATGGGGGGAGAGCTTATATATCAAAACTAGAAATGGTGATTACGAGGGAAGAAGAATATCGATGAATCCGATGGTAAAGGCCGAATCCGACCTAGGATGCCTCAGGTCTCTATGCTTGCTCCTTGTTTTTCAACTACAGTTTCATAAGCTTCCAATTGGCACTTGTTTTCTGTGTGGGTTTTGTCATCTCTCTCTCCGTTTCTTGCAGCTGGGAGCTGGCTGATTTTAGTTCTTAGTGCTAGCCTTGACCTCTTCCTATCCCTTGCTTAATTTATGTGAGCTATGTATGCTGTTGTATTGTAGTGTAATTGATTCATAAAAACAATATAGTGTAATCAATTCAAGGAAAAAAAAATAGTGAGTTAAGAATTATTGCGTAGTTTTATGAAATTATATTTTTTAATCTTAAAATATATTTGAAGGGTTTGAGAAAAGACCTCTCCATGTTAGCTTCCCCAAACCACCGCTCTCCTCCTTTATACAAGAGTGTCTTTCCTGCAAGACAACAACGTAACAAGCAAGATCATCCTCGAGATTTCTATCGTTCTTTAGAATTACCTCGTGGGAAGCAATAATGGGAGAACATTATCTATGTTGGTTTCTCGCAATTCTCCGACGTGTGTGTGAACCCTTCCAACATATTGTTGTTGTATGCTTGTTTAGAGTGAAGATTAGTTACCCCTACCTCTGGAGCCAAAACCAGTGGTTATGGAAGCTAACGAGTCATTTGGATGTTCTTCATTTTGACTAAGACTAGATCCTGGTTAAGCTCTCCAATGAAGCTAACTATCACATTGCTTTTACTTAGATCCTCTGAATCATCTATGACCAGTATCTGTTAATTCAGCTATGGTCTCTAAAGATTAGAACATCAGAGAAACTTTCTCCGTGGCTTATTGCTTGAGTTATGTTGCACCCTAAACCAAGCGAATCACCTAAGGATGTCCGAGTTCGGTGCTACTTCGCGACAAGATGTTTTTCTTCGAAGACAACTTATTCGCTCATGAATTTGGACGGTGACCCTTCCTTCAGGCCTCCAATCTGGCCATCGGTGTGGTGTACCTTGGCGATGCCATGGATCAGATTTTTTTTTGGTTTGCTTCTCATGACCGACTCTTGATAAAAGCTCAGAGATATCGACAACACCTCACTGTCGTTGTTTCCTACAAGATTTGTGGAGGAGGATAAGATTCAACATGACATGTCCCTTGCGACTGCCATTTCATCCGATTGACATGGGAGGACCTATTTGGCAATGATGGAACTATTCGTCAGGACGGAGCTCTCACATTGATGAGACCATTTTGGCAGGCACATGCTCACTATTTTGGAAGAATTGGAATAGTTACCCCATCTGTAGGTGTCTTTAAAACCTGTGCACAATTTCAGTTTCACACAAAGCAACGAAGATAGCATACTGCAATAGGCTTTGAGAAGGAGAGGGATATCTTTGGATTTGGAGGAATATGGGAAAGACAAAACATTAGTTGAAGCCGTCGCAGCTAGGTTGGACGTGTCTCAGCACCAATGGCTTCATAATTTGTCTCCTTTAGACAGAGCGGCTTGCAACATCGTGAAGAGAGAAAATGGATGATTCTTGAAAGCCTACTCAATGAACCTTTGGGGCAGGGACGAGTCTATTACCTGTGTAGAGTTGATTGGTATTGTGCATGGTTTAAAGCTCATGTGAGAACCAGAGAGTAGGAAGGTTCTTTCGCAAACCATGAATATTATTAATAGTGCCATGCCTAGTAACCACACGTAAGCTCAATCACAAAGACCAGACATGTTCAAGATAGCTTCTAGAACATGCCTAGATAACTCGATCACAAGACCGGGCATGTTAGGAGGTGACCAGGCATGTATATATGGCGTTGGAAGAGATAGCTTCTCTTGGAGAGACCGCTTGTAGGGCTTCATGAATTTAAAACTCCAAATAACATGCTCTTTCATAGATCTCACTATGATCGAGTTACGGGTTTTATTTCACGCTTGATTTTCTAGATAAATTGAGCGCCTTTAAGTGACACATTTGCAGACACATCAAATTCCATAGTGACAAATCATCTATCAATACAAAAAAAATCTTTTAAATAGTGTAAAAGAAATACAAGATAGAGAATTAGAATTCAGAGAAGTTCGATAATTAAACATTCGAATTTTTCTTAAGAAGAGGAAGCAAAATGACTAAATTACATGTTTGGTCACTCGATTTATAAATTTGCCTCTTTTTTAGACCCAAAATAATTTAATTGTTTGTTAGTCATTCAATTTGAAGCTCATTTCATCATTATTCACTAGCCGTCCAATTCCATTAAATTTATCTTACGTGGCGGTCAACCATAATCGTTGACTGTTAAGTGGACGATGTGGCAGTTAAGGAATTTAATACAATAAAAAAATATGATGTGAGCGGTAGAAGACGAATACCCGGTCGGCACTTGCAATTCCCCGACCGGGTAATTGAGGCAGAGACCGGGGATCATGTCCAGGGATTTCCCCCTGTCGGTGATGTAAAATACCCAACCGAATATTCGGACCGAATTTCGGGTCTGTTCGAGTTTGTGTTACTTTTTTCTGTTAGAATTCTTTTCCTTTTTGGTGTTTTTATTAGGTTTATTTTCCATACCTATTTAAAGGGTTGTAAGCCCCGAATTTTAGGAGACTATTCAGATTATTCAGACTTTGATAATGGAAAACCTCCTTTCGATTCATTGAGTTTTTACTCATGGATTTTGTCCTTGTTTGTTGGTGGATCTCCAGCTATCGAGCGAGCTCAGTATCAATCAGGTATTCCCCTTGATTGTGGTCGAGCCTTCTCCCAATTTCGTGTTGAGATTGCACGGCAGTTCCGCCCTCCTTTATTTTCCAGTTGTTGAGAGAAAATTCAGAAAAAACCCTAAAAGATCGAAACTGTGCGACTTTGACAAAAGAACCTAAGCTTTCATGAGCTCGGATTCTTATCAGGTGGTATCAGAGCCCCGTTCAAACTCAGCGGCGATTAGAGATAGCAAAGGAAGCAAATCATGGAGATAAACATTGAAGACCTCATGAAAAAGCTTGCAACACAGATGGCTAAGGTGGAATATATGCTTTTAACCATGGCTAAACATAGTTCGAGTCCTCCGTTATAACAAAGTTCGAGTTCTGAGGAGGAGGACGAGGCAAATGTGGAAGCAGAGAAATCGCCGGTCAACTATCTAGAACCGCAGAAGGAGGAAGAAGATCTATGCGAGACGATCGCGGTGAAGAAAGTGCAGAAGATTTATCGTGATCCCTGTTATGATGATCTTTCTTGCAGAACTCCACAAGCTTTGACGATTGTTGCTGCGAAACAAGGAATGACCACTGCCGAGCTAGCAGACTGAGTTAGAGGCTTATATGGAGAGGAGCAGAGACTTCACGGTCATCTTTATGTGGATGATTGTCTTTTCTTTCAGTGGACCTACAGGAAGAAGAGACAAGAAGATGGTGAACCCGGATGGAGGAATTTAGAGAATTTCGTTTGGAAGCCAGGATGGAAAGCTTTGAGGTCAAAGATTCTTCAACGGGGAGGGACTTATGTCAGCCGCTGGAGAAGAATACCCGGTGGCACTTGCAATTCCCTGACCGGTTAATTGAGGTAGAGACCGGGGATCATGTCCTGGGATTTCCCCCGGCCAGTGATGTAAGATACGCGACCGCATATTTGGAATGGGTTTTGGGTTTGTCCAAGTTTGTGTTACCTTTTTCGTTTAGAATTCTTTTCCTTTTTGGTGTTTTCATTAGGTTTATTTTCCATACCTATTTAAAGGGTTGTAAGACACGAATTTTAGGAGACTATTCAGATTATTCAGACTTTGATAATGACAAAACCCTTTTCGATTCATTGAGTTTTTACTCATGGACTTTGTCCTTGTTTGTTGGTAGATCTCCAGCATTCGAGCGAGCTCTGTATCAATAAGGCATTCCCATTGATTGTGGTTGAGTTGCTACCCTTATATTGTTCAAGTCTTCTCCTAATTTCGGGTTGAGATTGCACGGCGATTCATCCCTCTCCTTTATTTTAGAGTTATTGAGAGAAATTTCATAAAAAATCCTAAAAAGATTGAAGTTGCGCGACTTTGAGAAAAGAACCCAAGCTTTCACGAGCTCCGATTCTTATCAAAATATTAATTGTATTTTCACCCACCACCGAAATTACACCAACTCCATTTTACAAACACTTCCCATATCTGCAGACGAAATCCAAGTATCTTATGATCGGGAGCTTCTCCAACGCCATCTCTTCCACGGTCTCTCCTTCTTAGATGGCATCGCCACTGCCACCTCCTAACAACAAAATTGAAATATTCTTCTCCTGCTGGACTCAAACCTGAGCCATGTGATTCGCATAAACTCTTTGGCGCCAAAGGGAACACAGTAACTTAACAATTCAAATTTCCTCTTCTTTTACTCTGTCTCTTTCACCTTCTCGTTTACATGCAATCCATATATATGCAATCCATATATATACTTTGAGATGAATGAGAACAACCCAGATCTCTAGGATTTCTTTCCAAAATGTTGTTACCTCTAGGTACTACTCCAACTACTATTCATCACCATCCTCGTCTTTATCCATAAATTCCAGCTACCATGACTCCTCGTCGTCTCAGTTTTCGATTATTGTTTTTACCCCTACGATCTCTTTCAACTCACTGTGAAGCTTAACGAGTTTCACTTCCACGAGTTTGTAGGGCTGGAAGTTTGGTATCGCTATTTGGGATATACCAAATATCATATTGAATTTATCACTATTTGGTATCACCAAATGTCGATTTATTTTAAGAAATTAGGATTGAGATTTATTTTGGAGTGTTATTTGGTATTCGGGATTACGAGATTGAGATTGGTATATACCAAAATAGCGAGAAGCAACAAAAATTAAAAATTAATTGAATATACCACACATACTTTACTCACTCTTTGACAACTCACAAGCCCCTACCCAACCCAATTTTGGCTTTACAATTTAAATCGCTCCTATCTATCACTCAATCTCTTGTTATTTATGACACCAAAAAGCATACACTCTCGTTAGTCGTCTCTCAAGCTCCAACCCATCAAATTAAATATTACCAATGACAAAAGTTGAGATACCACCTTATCCCCCTTCTCCTCATCTATGTCCTAGCTCTAGATGAACCCAATACCATTTTCCTAGTCTTTTTACACTCAATGGGGGACCTATAATGAATCAGTTCAATGAAGACTTGATTGAATGCCATCAATGATGACTTCGATTAGTATTTATTATACTTTTTTCATCTCAAATTGTCATAATAAAAAAATTCAATCACGAAGTTAACCCTACAAATCTACACTATATAAAATGCTCGGGATTATGGATGCTCTAACCATTTATATATTTATATATATTTGATAATTATTAATTGCAAAGTTAATTAGTTTCGTATTCGAGATTACCAATTGGGATACTGAAATATCTTGGGATTGAGATCGGCGGGGGAGGCAGTCGTAGAAGCGAAGCCTATTGCCGCGCTGACCATCACATACTAAATTGGGCCCCTTCTCAAAGATTTGATGGAATGGTCCAATTGAAATTGATTTTAGCGTATAATTCGATATTCGGAATTTCAGTATTTGATACCGAGATACTGAAATGTACCGATTTCCATCCGTAGTATGAAGGGATGGTGGAGGAAGAAGGCAGCCGCGGGCGGTGAAGGAAGAAGATGCCTAATTCAGTATTAGGATTTAGGAGTGTGTTTGTTTAGAGTTTCAATTTGCAATTCGCAAAGGTATAATTGTTAAAAAGCTAAACATTATAATTCAATTCTTATCCAACTAACAATTCAAATGACGTTAATTTAGCCTAACACGAAAGACTTTTTAAGCCAGCTCGATTAGCAGAACAAAGAAGTTGGACAGAGCAATCCAATAACAACATTAATGTGTAGGATTAAAAGAATAACAAAATTTGTTCCCTTAATTTTATAGACTCATATTTGATAGTTGAGATTAAAAATATTTTTTGAATTGAGTTATATTTCATTCTTATTAACTTTGATTTTGAATTTTTATTTAGAATGTATTGGATCATTGTGATATACTAAATGAAATCCATTTGTAAAAGTTTCCTACTACATGTTGTCCTCCATCTACAATCATTTTGAAATTTCTTGCATATAAGGAAAATGCTCATTGTGATTTAGATGTCAGTTCTTAGTATATTTTGAAAAAAATATGTCACCCTATACCATAGTGGCATAGGGTGGTAGATAGGGATGGCAATGGATCGGGTTTTACCAAACCCAAATCCATGGGTTTATCCGTGAAAAAAACCTGGGTAAAATCCACTGGGTTTGAAAAACTCAAACCCAACCAAACCCGCGGGTTGATGGGTACTCATGCGTTTTTGTCGTCAAAAATTTACAATAACAAGTTTCTATCAAAATTAAAGTCAGATATCAATCTCTCAATACAAATTATCCATATATAAAACACCATTCTATCAAATTCAAGCAAATCACAAATTAACCATACAAATTGTTCAACACCAACCTAGAAAACTCAAGAAAATTTAAGCAAATCACAAATTATCCATAAACAACCTTTTTAATTGAAAACTTCTTCATCCTTGTCAATTAAGCTTCTTCACTCTCCACTCGATAATATCAATTTTATTCTACACAATTGAAAAGAAAAAATAGACATGTCTCCACAAACATAAAGAAGATTAGTTGTTTAGAATATTAAATATACCGGAAAAATTAATTATATGGGTGTGGGCGGGTACCCATGGGGTGGGTTTGCCTAAACCCAAACCCAACCCGGTGAATAGTGAACGGGTTTAAACCTGGACCCACCCAAATCCCGTCAACACGGATTTTACCCGCGTTGACCGGGTAGGGTACCCGTGGGTTCGCGTTTTGTTGCCATCCCTAGTGGTAGACGATGATAGATGGTGTTTAGAATATCCATATCACCATGTATATCACTATTCTATACTGTTTTATATTTCTATCACCATATATATTTTCATTTTCCGATTATATGATTTTTTTGCACCCAAACAGGTTAGTTCGTACGTGATCGCATCAGACCAAAGTGACGTTTGGACCATACCATACAGAACAGAATATAACATAGTCATGTCCTTGGTCCCATGAATTCTATACGTATTGAAGAAAAATGGATTGCAGTGACATTTGGACCAGACCAAACCGGATCGAATGCAATGTTGGTCCCATCCTTTGTCCTAAAATATTTTTTACTATTGGACCGTGTTACTTATGAGTTTGGTCCGTCTCCAGTCAAACTGAACCATTGTACACTCCTACCTATCACCATGTTATATTATCGTAAGAAAATGTTTTTGTTTATTTCCTTAAAATATAGCCAAGTAGATGTCATATTATGTGTGCAAAAAAAAAATTTGTTGTGAAATTTGAAATACAGTGATAGTTCTAACAAAAAAAAAAAAAAGAAAGATATATACTATATAGTATATAGTGATATTTATGCATGACAAAATCAATCGCGGAGGAATGGCCACCAATGGCAAGTTCCCGTTTAGATAATGCTTTAGTATTTAGTCAAAACAGCTTCCACGTTTCTGTTCTTGTAAACTCATCCACATTTCTTATTCAATGTTCCAATACACCAAATAGCTTCCCTTCAAGGTTAGAAAGAATTTGTGGCTGAAAGCATCTGGCAGAGTCAACATGATTTCTGAGGGGATTACACTCGTCAGTTCTCTCCCTCCCAAAGCCAATGGCCGAAAGCGCCAAACTGATCACACTAACCGACAAAACTGACAAGGCACCATCGTCTCTTTGAATTGGCAGTTACCAAAAACATCTCTCTTTGCTTTGATCAAGTCAGCTCAGCTCAGCTCTCTGAATGATTCATGATTTTGACACCAACCTCCCCCTTCATACTCTCACGACAATGATACACCAGTCACCTGGAAATTGCGAGTTTAGTCGTTTGAACTGTTCCAAATAATATCAACCAGATGCCAGTCGCCCTCCTTGGCACTATCCATCTGTGTCTTACACATAAGGTTGGTGAGTATCGCCGTATCAATCGATTGATGACAATTGACAAGTACTACAGAGCAATGTGCTTTTCAACTTTTACTCGAAGAACAAGCAAGGGAGCAATGTTGACAAAAATGGAATATACAAACTATAGTAAACATTCGGCGATGCTGCAAAAAGTTATCAGAAGACTTTACAGTGCTTGTTGGAAGGGTTCTGGTCTTAGAAAAGACAACCATTCGATTAGAGCTTGATTAACCAACTCCGGGACTTCATCGTGTGGACAATGGCCAGCCTGCAAGTTCACAACTGTTGTGTTTGGATAGAACTCCTTGATCCTATTAGCCTTGGCAGGGCCCACCCATGGGTCCAAGTCTCCCCACAGCAGTAGTAGGGGACATTTGAGGTTGCTCAAAGCGCCGTCTAAAGTGTAGGTGCTTTGGTTCAACATGAATCCCGTCATTAATCTGCAGGAATTTACATTTCTGGAGGGCTCAGAGATTCTTCATTTCAGAATAGGACTGCTAAGCTCAGACCAAGCAAATCAAACCAATCAGCAGCAAGCAAATTGTTGACCATTAGCAATTATTAAGTGTACCAAATGTCATACTAAACAATGAGTGGCTTCTTGAGCTGATTTGGGTAGAAGCATAGAGACTAGGGGCAACAGACAAACCAGTCCTGAACGATACTATTGTACATTCTTCATAAGGAGTTCAGAGATAATGGATAACAAGTTCAGGACAAAGGAAACAACAAATGATCCACCACAACAAATGGTACTTAATGAGCACAAAGTTCAAGACAAAGAGACAAACTAAACAGGCAGTCAAGTTCAAGGCAAGCAGGTGGACTGTGTCAAAAATAATATAGACATCAGCAATGACAAACCTGTAATAGACTTCTCCAGCGTTGGGATCAGCAGTTGGACGAGTGATGGATTCAACAAGATAGTCATCCACATTGGATTTATTCATATAAACCTGAGAAGTAGAGCCACAGCATTTTTCAGATCAAAAGGGAGCATCGAAGTAGGAATATGTAGGATAATCATCAAGGATTTGAAGATGAATTCTCCTCTGTCAACCACACGAGAGCAGATACAAACAGCATGCTTGAAATTCAGATTCTTCAGTTTGTAGTATGTTAAGGTTGAAGCCACAGAATCAGGGCCACAACTACTAAAGGGGGAAACGAGAGTGATTTTTCCAATATGAACACAGATCTGAAGAATTAGGCTGTAAGGTAAGCTATTGCTAAACATAATCCTTGCCTAACCGAAAAGTCTTGAATCTTTATTCATCCATATCACATTGAGAAACCCTCATATGCAGCAAAGATGTTGGTCAAAAGCATCTAAAGATTTCATGTGAGGTCTCTCTCAAATTAAGAGGTGAATGGCACTTACACTCTTTAAGACAGATTCAACACGAGCTGGTTGCTTTGCTTGCCAGAACAAGAAACCGAGTACTATACGCTGGAAAACATCCTTCACTGGCTTCAAAAGATACTTTTGCAGAACAGACTCTTCGGTCTTATTGGCCTCTGCATTCGGATTTCCAAACTGTCCAGCTGAGTTTAGCAGTACAAGCCCAATAACTTGGTCAGGCAACCCCACTGCAGAAACCAAAGCAGTGAATCCGCCAAGGCTGGAACAGTAAGAATAATGAGTTACATTGTGCTAATACCTGTGATATGAAAATATCGACTCCACATACAACATAATTCATCTGAAAAGCAAGCAAAAGACTTCATATTATAGTGTTGGAAGTTGGTACTATGGTCCGGCGCTGAGAAATCAAAACCACAGAAGGCTAAGTATGAACCTTGAACTGCTTCCACCTCAATTTTCATCAATTTGCAGAAAAATGAAACTCCGGTAACAAGAAAGTACCTGTTCCCGACTAAAACTGCCGGCTCTTTCACTATCTGCTTCATAAAATCCACTATTTGATCCCTCCATAGCATAGCGTCATAGTCAACAAGTGCTTTGTCGCTCCATCCGAAACCTAGCAAATCCACAGCATAAACCTTGTACTTTTTGGCCAACTCGGGTATGTTATATCTGCAGTATTGGCGAATAATTTGGGATTCATGGAAAGAGAGACTACTGGCAAAGAGGGAGAATGTAAAGAAGGAGCAAGAGCTGTTGATTATGGAAGAGCAGCACTTCAATAACTTAACTTCCTCCTTTCTGGAATTAATAACAAGAAATATACTCTTACTCAGTATCGACCAAAAACAAATCTATACTACGTGCACTGCTACTCCTCAGGAATGAAATTCAATATTTGTCAGTTGTGGTTTTTTCCTTTACACTTTGAAATCAAAAGTCCACCACAATTCACATCCGCGTAAACCAAAAGGCGGGCAGGTCAATGGTGATTACAGTACAGCAGAATACCTCCAATGGAAAGCAGAAGCGCCAAAGCCATGAACTAGAACAATAGGAAGACCTTCTCCTTCAACTACATAATGTATCTTGTGACCTCTCCATGACCAATAATTATAGCCTTCTGGCTTGAACGGCAATCTCTCAACTCCTACAACTATTCAAAACCTGATGACCCCAACAAAACCTTCCTCTACAACACAGAGAAAAGGGAGAGCAATCCAAAAAAACCACCATACCTTTCTCGAGCTCAGTAGCCAAGGAAGCTGACCCATTTGCTGAAACCCCAGGAGCCACAATTCCTTTCATCGCAAACCCTCTTCTGTTAGTATCACATCTGCTTCCTGCACGTGTAGGGGAAAACAAAGAAAAAATATTCAAACTCACGTTCAGGAACCCAGAAAAAGACACGAGAGCAAACAGCAACAAAAAAACAACAAAGAGCTTAAGCCAGGCTCACTGGCAGTGTTCAGCCTCGTCGAAGCGGCTGAAAGGGTAGCTCTGGAGTTGAATAGCTCCGACCTAAGGGCCAGCGATATGTCTCCGGAAGAAGACATCGAACCCAGCATGAAATAAGGCTAGGTTCCTACTTCTTAAACCTTCAATCGGTTCTCGGCGACAGGAATTTTCCTGGAAAAGGGTAGTTCATAACTGATTAATATCGGATAGCCGAGGATTTTCGTGGCCGGTGTCTGGAGTTGTGGCAAGCTAGTAGCCCTGGCCACTTGTTTGTCGTGTTTTGTCTCTTTTTTCCTTTCTAAACGGCAATTCTTTGAATCCTCCTTTCGTTCTCATTTCCCGGCAAATTTAGATGATTGCGAATGAAGTTTGATGGTCTAGAAGTTTGATGGTCTAGAATGAGGTTAGTAGGAGTGTTCAAACTGTGTGGTTATTGTGATTTGTGATAATTGTTTCAATTGTTAGTTTTTGATTAATTTGATTTGGATAATGTGAATAATTGGTTTGGTTTGGTTACAAAATAACTTGTTTGGTTTAGGTGATTTTGTTTGGAAGGAAGGTCTTTTTCAACCTATTATAATTACTAAGAGGCTAATTCAATTCACACAATCACAAAAATTAATTAACTCCATATATTTTTATTAGGTGATACTTTCAATTGACTGTGAGATAATTGTATTAGTTGCATGTATTTTTGTAAGGTTAACTATAAATATACGTTCATTGTAATGTTTTATTCATCATATAAATTGTGTATTGATGCATTAACCGAAAATTTACTCACTTAATGGTATTGTGATGTTATATTGGTTAATCTTGTTAACCAATTAACCAAACCGATTGAAATTTAGTGTGGTTAATTTGGTTGTTGTATTAGTTTGGACGGTTTGATTATGATATTGTATTCCATGGTTAATATAATTTTGACTTATTTAGTTTGGTAATTACCATGGTAACCATTTGAACACCCCTGGAGGTTAGGATTGGGGGAAACCTCTCCTCCGTCGGGTGTGTATCTAGTCTATTCCCTTTCTTTTCCCTTAGTTTTGTTATTCACAACATCATCGTTCAAACGGACTATGTACATGTAGATCCATGTAATAAGGAGGATGAAATCCAAAGATATAAGGATTGGGAATAAAAATCTTCACAGTAAAACACTTTACACGAATGTTTCACAAAATAATAGTGTTTGGGGGAGTTCGTTCTAGTGTCAAGTGAACTAGATAGTGGTTCACTTGACACTTCACTACAAGAAAACTAGGTTTTGGAGACAGAGATTATTTGCATCTAAATGTCACTTATTTGCTTCTGCAGGGCTCGGATTGTGGTCGAGTCAAACAGATTGTGCTAAAATCACCATGGCTCGTGGCTGACCTCATCGAATTGGTCTGTTGACAACCGTTGCGATCTACCCCCAATTTAGGTCAAAACTTCAAACGATTGTAATTATGCGCTCGCTTATCCAATCGTAGCAAAATATTTTTGGATTTCACAAAAAAATTAGATCTACAACGTTTACTAAGAAGAAATTTCCAAAAGAAGAGAGATACTTTTGGATTTATATGGTTTTGAGAATGACATTAGAATTAATTTCTAAATTTTCAAATAAATTCTGAAAATGATTCTATAAAAATATTTGTACTCCTTAAAAAGTTAAGCAAATTGCAACAAAAGAAAAGTGACGATCCGACTGCATAGCACAAAGTTATGATCTTTCAAAGTTCGGCGAAAATGTTTATGCGAGGAAGGCGAAGGGTCGGTTTAAGGCTTCAAAGATCTTGAAAAATTATTGATTAAAGGCTAATTTTACATATTTTATCCTTCATATCTTGATTGTTTGACGTGGTAATCGTCGTTCCTCGATTGTGCTTCTTTTGTCATATTTCAGGTCTTAATACGTGTGGGAAGCTCGAGGACAAGTTTCGGGACATTTGGATGTCAAACAAGCCAAAAATTGGAGGTTGTGCAAGGTTTCTTGGGGTGAAAATCACATAGAAAACGGAAAACAAACACCTTTCCAGGAACACATCTCCTTTTCGCGGCTGGCACACTTATCACGGCCTAGGGCGTGGAAATCACTCCAAAATCATGAAACGTGCACCGCTACAGGTATGAATTCTCAACAATAGGTTTTGAGAAAGGGGTGCTAGATTTTTTACCGCAAACACTCATGGGTCAATTAGAGCGAGAGTGACCTAGGAGGGTTCTTAGAGATGTTTTGGAGGTGAATATCACCATTGGAGCTTGAAGATCATCCCCTAGAAGTTGAAGATTGAAGATTCTAAGCTGTATACTATATTCTCTCTCTTTTTCTCTACGAATTAGAGTCCTTCGCTTAGGTTGACCAACCCTATTTCTAAATTTTGGTTTGAATGTTGTTGTATGTGACAAATCCTATGATTGAGTACTCCTATTATCTATTTGATTGATGTTTATGATGAATTGCATGAGTCTTGATCACACTATTATCAATTGAGCTTTTGACCTAAGAGAGAGAATATCTCCCTAGGTTAGGTACATCACCTTCAATCATTCAATATGGGTCTTTCAATGAGTGTGATAGGATCCATAGTGTCGTATTGGTCTTGTCCAATCAAGTGAGTTGGTTTTGAACACCTCAATTGCCTAGGTCGGTTATGTGGTACTCCCCTCCGGGTAGAGCAATTGAGAGGGGTTTTACAACTCGAACAGGGACTCGAAACTAGTCTAGAATTCTCCGCAGTAAAAGTATCGATGTAAAATTCCGATACTTTTACCCAACCGAAATACTCATGGCTCCGGAGCCGGTTAAAAACAAAGCCCGAAATTCAAATACCACTTAATCATTTCCAAGAAAAACATCAAATGCAATGCCCTAAATACGTGGGAGACTTCAAATACATAGTCAATAAAAACTTAACCTTTGAACCCCCAGTTTATACTCATAAACATAACTAACTAAACAAACTCCAACTCCTCACTGAGCTCCCTAGGCCCTCGTCCACGCTGGTACGGATGCTCGCCTCATTTTGCCTTTTCTTGAAAACCACGTCTGTTAACTATTCTTCTACCTAGTGAGTGAGAGAGGTCAGTCTCGTCGTTACTTCCTAAGGACTTTGCCTTAAGCAATATCCTTACTAAAACACATTATTAGTGTTTCATTTCCTTAGATGGAAGCCATTCTCGCTTTCATCCTTAATACTTTATTCAAACGTTAACTCATAGAAGGTCTCTACTTCTATTATAAACTCAAACATATAACACTAGGGTCTACCACGTTACATCTCGCCATCTGGTGTCCCTAACTTGGTATGCCAACCGCGTTACATCCCACCGTCTGGTTGCAAACCCAAGTCAGCAATGGTCTGCGTTACGTCTCGCCGTCCAGTACCATTCCCGATCAAGTGTTGCGTTATGTATTGTCGTCCAATATTGATCAGACCATCTACCACGTCCAGTAGTGGCCCAACCGCCACGAGGTTCATCTTACCAACATCCATACATCATAAACACACACATACATAACACAACGCGTGCCTCAACCTTAAGTATGCAGTGGGATGCCTCATACACATAATCACGCATAACTAGTAAAATAAACGAAACTAGTATAAGTAAATGCATAAACTAAAAGACCTCGACGGAGATTTTACCCTCTTTACACTCACCTTGAATCCATCGAATCGACTGTGATTCTGCTCTAAAATTTGAATACTCACTCCCAAAATAATCTCCTTGCTTCTACGATTCCATAGGCGCCGAGGGCTCCTCGTTTGGACGTCAAACGAACAAGTAAGGGCCAAAATAAGAATTTTGTCAGATTCCAAAGTACCAGGTACCAAATTTTGTCAGATTAAAAAATGTGATGTTATATTTCCTCTCCCCTTAAAACAATTTCGTCCTCGAAATTGGAACTGAATCCTTGACCCTTGAATTACAAAACCTTGCCTCAGTTGGGGTGTCACATTTCCAGCTCATCAATATCCAATTCCTTGTGCCTAGAAGATGGATCTTCTTCCTCCACTGACAACCAGTGACTAGTAACAGTAGAATCAATGCTTTCAAGGCTTATGGGATCATATGGTTCATTGTTCTTCTTTGTATAATACTCTCTAATAAAAGTAGAAACCATAAAATAATTCAATTCAATAGTAAGCATAAAAAGTATGAATTCAACACACAAGTTCTATAATTCAAATCATTACCTATTCTGCAATCGCAAGTTGTAATTCACAAACACCAAGTTACTAAACACTTTATGTTGCAATTTGTTTCTTCTTTTTGTGTGCACATGTTCAAAGACACTCCAATTACATTCACAACCAAAAGAAGAAGCAATTAGGCTAAGAATTCGAATAGCCAACTTCTGAAGACTTGGAGCATCAATGCCAAACCATTTCCACCACTTATCTATATATAAAACATACATGTTAGTTTCTTAAATACTGTAAGAAACATAAGAACTTCAATGCAAGTGATATCAATTACCTGGTTGTTATTTATGTACGGAATCTATTACAATCTTCCTCCCAAACTTTCCTGAACGTTCAACATACATATTCATCTCTGTCACCACCACACTATTATCAGGAAATAAAGACGAGTTCTCAAGAAGATTAAGAAGTCCATATGGAACCGCCCTATTATCTGTCCAATCATCAGAATACTTCATAGATGTATTAAGGCACTCTTTATACCCGGTTGACTACCAGAAGATGATTGTGGTGCAAAGAAAGTGTCAACCGAACCCGTAGGCACATTAGGAGCAACTCTTTTAGTACTATTACCATCATCTTGTGCACTAGAAGAACTTGTATCACGAGGTTCTTTAATCCAGTTTTGATAACTTCATATTACTTCTTATTAATTAGTTTCATAATCGGTCAAAAGTTTCTGCATGTTTTGGCTCACCTCAGTAGGAACGATTGACCTATTGCATAATCCCCATTAATCCCAACTAGATGTTTTTTCATTCTAGTGATTCCTCCACCCTAAAATTCTTTTTGTCAATAGATACAAGTGAGTACCTCAACTTTGTCTTTAACCGATCGAGCTTCCTCTCCACTGGCCATTACTGCCAAAACATCCAAAATAGAAATCATAATAGAGGTGTAAAAACACACAAAAC